ATAATAATAATAATAATAATAATAATAATAATAATAATAATAATAATAATAATAATAATAATAATAATAATAATTATTATTATTATTAACAATAAACAAACACTTGTTATGAACTAATTTAAAAATAAATGACCCAAGGCGCGAAAGTATACATAAAGTATGAACTGAATAAATAGTAGAGTAATACATAGAAAAGTAAAGACAATGTAGATATGAACGTGCCAACAGAGTACACTCGATGGATTGAACTAAAGGAACTTTTAAATTGAGTTTAAATGAGTCCAAGGTAAGTCGTTCGACGGAAATGAGGCATAAAAAAAGCAAAGGTTCGTTGAATTTGAAGGTGGGACAATGAGAAGACTTAAACAATCAAAATATTTATTTATTCACGAAATATATGATAAACAATATAAAAGCTCGTTCACCAATGGTGTTCTTCCACGTTAAGTTCGTGATGAAATAAAAGAAATACAAATCAATACAAAATATATATCTAAATATATTATACAAATGATACATCATATAATTTATATAATATAAAAACAATTATATAATACATCACTTATATTACCTGTTAACACGTTTTTTCTTCTTTTTTTTTGAATAAATTGAGATTGTGGCAGCTCATTCAAATTAATATTGTACTTATTCCAGGTTATGACCCTTCCACCCCACTCCTTATAGGAAAGATTACGTTTTTTTTATATTCAATATGTGGCTTCGGAACATAAAGGTTTGTATTGCAATGTCTAAATTATAATTGAAGTTTTTAGTTTAACTAAATTTGATTTGATAGATACGCGGCTGCACGTCCCGTCGTAATTTTATATATTAATATGCAACATTCATACTCATCCTTAATTGCAAGGTTAAACGAATTTACTCTTTGTAGTGCATCTTTACTTTGCGTGTCAAAAGATAGACCACATACGATTCGGGCAGTTCTATGTTGTACAGTTTGTACTACTTAAAAAAAATAATAGAGCCACAATTACCCCATATTACATTATAATAATTTAAAGAGGAATACTAATAGGATGTTCAATATTTCATAATACATCGTTCTTGAAGATGTGTCCACACTCTTACTTGCTAAGTGAAGACGGCGTTTTGAGACATAGGTGTTTAGAATTTCAGAGAGATAAAAGGGTTGTTGTAATCGAAGAGCATTTGTTTTCTTTCACTATCTTTATTTAAAAATCACTAAAGATCGAGAAACTGGTACATTTTGCACATGCAATGTCAAAATACTGTATTTATGTGTGGAAAATGTTGTGGGTTAGGACTATTGAATACCGCGTTTGGATTATTATGACTGACATCAAGAAAGGTCCGTTCCATAATGTTAGTGCCATATTAAATTCATTGCCTTCGTTAGGGAGCAGGCTTAGATTTTTTTTGTAAGATCATCTCTTTTAATAACTAGAATGGCTACAAGAAGAGCGAATGATTGTTTGAATTAGGCCTTCTTATCCTCGCTATTATTGGGTACCGGTAATCATTAGCATGCGCTGATTGGTGGATTAGAAGTTATATAAAGCACTGGCCTGACCACTGACCTTATATGATCTGGGATCTGTGGCCTAACTAAAGCAATCAAATTGTCTCGTTGCATTTACACTATATTGAACGGTGGAGTACACAATAGAGGCATGTTAGCTCTAATTGGGACTGTGCTGGTCGTGTTATTATTAGCGCAGCCTAACCAAGCCTGTACACCGTACCGACCACCACCACCACCTCCTACAGAATGCACGAATACTGTATCTGCGTCTGTCAGCCCTGGTAAAGCCCCACTGTACAATGCCAAATCAGATGGCAACAATAATTACATCATTGTCATTGAGGTAAGTTATATTTATATAATCTAATTTATTTAGACCTACAGTAACAAGTTTGATTAGAACTTAAAGAAAGTTACTTCAATTTCAATATTAAGTATGAACAACAGACACTAAACTTAATTTGTTATGCCTTTAAACTTGTTCTCCTTAAGCAATTGAACTTACAAATCTGAACATAGTTCCTATACACTTCAAATTTCATCGCGGTGCACAATAGATACTGCAAAAAATTTGACATTAATACTGTCGTGATGGAATAGACAATAATCAATTGCGAAAATAATCGCAAGTTGTTCTTTGGTGGGACTCGAACCCACGATCTTCAGATCACTAGCCTAACGTCAAACCTCTAGACCACCGAGATTGTACCTGATGACCAGGGTTGAATTCGAGTCCAAGTAAGCAGCGAGTACTGCAATGTTAATAGTAATTGTTATTGTCGTGATGGAATAGACAATAACTGGATTTGCGATACAATACTTGGATTTGCGTCCTGGGCAAAATTACACCATATATGCAAAAAAAAATGTTTTCACCTTTTGCACACAAACCTAAAAAAAGATTAAGTCAAGCGTACACTATATGCACAAATATTGGACTTTTGGGGATAGGCAATAGCATTGGAATTTACAGTGATGACGTCGCGTTTGACTTATAATAACTTTTATGATACGCCTACTTCTTATAAGCATTAAGGAAGACGGGATCTTCGAAAATATGCTTTATTTTTTTTAAATAAACTTTCAGTTATGCTATAATGAACGTTAAAGAGAGGAATCTATAAGTGTGAACAAAGCTACCCCAAATGGGATTCCAACCTGTGCAGACGTTAAGCAACTGGGCCATTGAGGTTTCGTTGGCAATGCAAATCTAAAGCAACCAATTATTCACACTTATGCGCATGCGTAGTAACTAACAGCACTAGTAATTGATGCATGAAAACAACAGAGATCGAAAATGAAACGGCATTTTCTTTTAAACATGTGACGACAAGACAGGATCTCCGAAGAGGTACATTATTTTCCTAAATTAATTATAATCTAGGCATACGCCTCCAATTAAAGGTGGTTTTTTTTGGTTTTCAATTTTATTTGATCATTATAAATTTGGCACGTTTGAGGGCCACAGCGATTGCAGCTGTACAGTTGGTGCTGCTGGTGCTAGTACAGTAGCAAGTGAGTGAGTGTTGCTATTTGCACAATTACGCAGTATAGTGCACCATCTGTTGGTTATTGCGCTATTTTTCTAGGGAAAACTTCGTACTGCATTAGTGTGCTGGGTAGTACTGTTAGGAGGGTCCACATTTGGAATGGGGTGGTTGACACAAGGGTGGCGCTCTTAAAAAAAGGCAAACCTGTGCTACGCCAATGAGTAAAGAGGTATTGTAAGTATACCTTGGTAAACCTGCGAACACCGATCCCTCTCCTCGCATATCTGCCATTTCTTACATGTTTCTTCTCCTTGAAACAGGATTATGAGAATCCTGAATCTATGAAACAAAGAATAGGTAACATGAGATCATCAAGCAACAAGCGTATTTCGCCAAGTAAAGCCATCAATGCGCCATCAAATGGGATAAAAGCAGTCGTTTCTGATCTTAATGACCAACAGCTAGATATGGTAAGCATTGATATTTTAACACAATACTTCTTTAGGCCTGCATCCATTAAGATGACGATATGCATTAAGGAATAACTACTTCGAAGCAATGTTTCTTCATTATCAATATCATCATTATTACGTCATCGTCATTGGCTTTTGTTGTTATTATCATTATTATTATTTCATATTTTATCAGTATTAGTATATGCAATGGTTAAAATATGCTTCTTTTACATATTATGCACGATCATAATCATGCGACTTCTTATTAATTGAATGTTTAAATAAAAATAAATATAAATGGAGTTTTGCATTTATTGTAATGACTGCTTAAGTAGTGATTTTTGAAGTCTTCAATAAGATAAAAATATCGAATTGTTGATATTTTTTTACTTCATTTAAATTCACATTTTTTTTAACGACGGGGAGCCTTCAACTTAAATAATGGACACAGTAAATATATAACATTTACCACCACATTTATCCATGAGTTGTCTATGAGAAATACGGCAACATGAACGTTTGGGTCTAGGCCCAGTGATTAATTTCCGTAGAATGTTTGTATATTTCCGTCTGTAATTAGGCCAATCTTCTTTTAGTGGTCATAAATAATTGTTCTATTTTATCAAAACTAATCGCGATGTTCAACGTACTAGAGGATAAGCGAACAAAGTCAGCGCAGCCTCTAGTTAAAATTATAATATCAATGGAAGAATCTAAAGCAGAAAATGAGTTAAAAATAAATAAGAACTCTATAACAATAAACCCATTGTTAAGGATATTGATTCCTGAGAATAGAATACAAAACAATTGTGTTAAGGTCTTAAGGACAAAAAAGCCCCCCAACCCCACCAAAAAAACAAAGGCAAAAAATGCATTAAATTTATGTTGCACTACATCTAACAGTTCATCTAGAAGTTGACATATATCATTAAACATAATTAAACCCATTTTTGTAGATGAGGGCTAGCCAGAGCCTTATTAAGGCAAATCAATGTCTTAGCATTTTGAAATTTCAAGTAACTACTGTATATTAACTTTACTACTACAATATCTTATATGACGATTAATGTTTATTAAAATCGTTTATTGTTGTAGATTCTTCAAATGGATGGTGTGAAGTATGTCGAAAAAAATATGCTAGTTAAAATGAATGCAGATACCGAAGTTTGGGGCTTAGATCGTATTGACCAGCGCAAACGTCCATTGGATGGAAAATATTCACCTCCGGGTAAGATATTTGCAAGTACGGCAAAATATTTGTAGGCCATAGTGGTTTTTCAGGGACTTTTCAGGGACCACGAATTGTAACGCTCTTTTACTTTCATTTAAACTGCAGCCAAAAATAATTCAAATTCAACTTCAGCAAAACATTTATTTTCTTCCAGAGGCACAAGAAAAAACAAAATTGCAAATACAAAAATTGGGAAGAAGGCCAGGACCCGAGAAGGAAAGAAATTAACCATTTTGTGTTGGGCCGGCCTGACAAAAAAAAAAAAAAAAAAAAAAAAAAAAAAAGCAGTTCAATACGTAACAGCATGACGAATTTTCAACCTAATAAATTTAAACCAAAATTTAATAATTTGAGATTATGTGTTTTTTTTTTCGGTTTATTAAAAAAAGCTCTAACAGAAACAGCATTGGTAATTGAGATTGGTCAATTGTTCCAAATAGAGGGGCCCGTATATCGAACGTTGTGTTGGAAATAGTTTGTGCTGTGATTACGGTTGCGAATATCAGATCGCGTACAATAACTGTGAAAAGAATAATTAGGCATGAACAAGTTACTTAAATGATCGGGGAGGATCGAATGCATGGCGGAGTATACAAATATACCTTACTGAATTAAATTTAATATCGTATATTTTAAGAAGATTTAGATTGGGAAACAGTTAGGAAGAATGGGACCGAGGTGGAGAGTCAGATATGGTCCTGATAGCCCCCTCCCCCCTTTTTTTTTGAAGAATTTGAAATTTGTTGATGTTAGATGGATAAGTATTGCCCCAAACAATGTTGCAGTAAGGAAGGAAGAATGACAGAGCAGTAAAGAATACGAAGAACGAATAAGTGAAGAGAGTCTAGAAATGATGCCAAAGCTTTTTGAAATTTTGCTCTGAAATTCGCTTATGTGATATTTCCACATGAGCCCACTGTCTAAGTGCACTCCTAAAAATGTTGCTAATTGAACAGAAGGTATTTCGTGATTGCCGATAACATTTTTTAGACTGACAGATCGATGCTTTTGAGCCTTTTGGGGGTCAAAAACAGGATGACGGTACATTTTTTTTTGTGGTTGACTAAAAGTTTGTTTGCTGAAAAGTACTGGGACATGGGAATAAAACTGGAGTTAAAAGTATCGAATAATGATTAAATATTTTGGTTAGAATAATAAACCGTTGTATCATCGCATAGAGAAAGAAATTGAGCAAATTAGAGGACAGATGGATATCGTTAATATATAAAATAAACAAATACGTACATGGAAAAATATAATTAATGTTTTTACACCTGTCTATATCCTAGAGACAACTGGTCTTTGTCCTAATTGCCTCCTGAGAAATGGTGGTGGAAGCAAATGCTTCCGGTAGGGTCACCCATGACAGACAATTCAAACGGTAGAGACATCAAGAGATGACCCCTAGAAAAACATTCACAGACAGTTAACCATTAGGGCGAAGAGGATCCAATCTCTCAACGGATCCAATCTCCCCCGGTCCTTTAAATCACGACCGGATGTTTTTCGACTGTTAGAGATGATTTGTGTGCCCCGTCACTACACTGCGGTATTTTAGACCTACAATTGGAGAACGTGAGTACGGAATGGCAGCCTATTACCACCCTGGCCCCACTGTACTTTAAATCTGCTACAGATTCAACAAAGAATAATATATTAAAGAACAGGACTAGATAGATCGCGTTTCCAACGCACTCGTGACGGACGACGGGAGGAGCCTCTGGGACCCTGCAGCCTTGATATACCTCGAAATGCTTCTCATTCAATGGCAAGTATAAGACTTGCCGCATGGAATTTTCGCACTCTCTTAGATAGTGTAACGTGTTCATCTCGACAAGCACGTCTCTCTTAGCATCGAAAACTTATCCGGGAAGACAGTCTTGCTCCACCTTCAGAACCCGGCCAAGCGGCACAGTTCGAACCAGCGGAGAGAGGAATGGAGGGAGGAAGGGAAGAATGGAGGGAGAGAGGGAAGGAAGGAGGGAGGGAGGAAGGAAGGAAGGACCAGATGAGTAACCACAGACTAATACCAAGCAATTCGTGTATAATGAGCTTGGTGATGGTACATGTAGCACCGGAAGACCGAAAAAGAGATGGAAAGACTGTGTTAAAAAAGACATGCAAAAATTCTATATTAATGCCGACAAATGGTTTAATGAAACACAAAAAAGCTCTTTATTGAGTTCCTCTCCCATGCTTGTTCAAAGATTAACCACGAGGAATGTTAAAGAATTGTAGAGCTTTCCTTCATCAGAAGTGACGGGAATGAAATATGACACCTTGTAGCCCTGGTATTCAAACGTTTATGGCGACCCTATACTTTAGCATAGCTATTAAACTTGGCGATTTTATTAGCGCTTATAATCTTTAATGACATTAATTTGGTTTGGCGGAGCGGTTCATTTTATCTGATTTTTTTTAATAATCGAAATGTATTTCATAAGTTTATATTCAATCATATTGATGTAATCATCACAGAAAGAAAATTATTAACATATTTAAAAAAAATATTTTAGGAAAAGTATCGCTGTTAAGGAAAAAACACAGATAGTATATTATTTGTAGCAGTGTTTTTGTCCTTTAATATATACATTTGAAAAATATAGATCAATAGGTGCATTAAACATTTTTTGACTTTTTTGTATGTGTCATCATCATTATATTGTCTATTCTAATTGATTATTCTTTTCTATTTATCAAATCTGTAAAGGGAATGGGACTGGCGTGATCGTTTACGTCGTCGATTCTGGCGTCAATACCAGACACGTAGATTTTGACGGCAGAGCAGAGAACTGGCACGAAGTTGTTAATGGCACAGTAAGATATATATATATATATATAGTTATCTTAATGATGATGATAATAATAATGCTAATAATAACAATTATAACAATAAATTATGACTATAGTAAGAATACGAATAACGACAAAATAATATAAATAATAAATAAAATTATAAAATAATAGACAACGACTCGGCGGCAACGACGACGGCAGTGGTGACAAAATTAACTTATTCATTAGTAATCGCTGCATTGAGGAATTAAATTAAGTAAAAATTATCTTTAAAGGCGAATATCCAACATTAAGCAAATGTGCGTCTTTATGGGTAAACAATGGAAAAAGTACAATAAATAAATACGCCTTACCGGTACTTAGAGGAGCTTGGAAATGTAAGAGGTCTATTAAAATAAACAATAAAATATGCAAGTAAAGCATAATTAATATTGGGCAATATAATTATATAATATAAAAATTATACCTTAAATGCTAATATCCAACATTAAGTAAATGTGCATCCTTGTGGGTAAACATTGGAAAAAATAAATTAAACAACTACGCCTAATTTAGAGGGGCAAGGTAAAATTTAAGAGGAAAATTTAAGGGCAGACTGGAGATACAATTATAGTTAATAAAATCACAATTAAATAATAACAATTACAATTACAATTAACAGGTAACGCATCTAAGTGCTTGTTATATTTATTTAAATGCTCAGTATATTTATTATAAATGTAAAAAGTTTGTTAAATGCATTGTTTTTAAGTGGTCGGTGGCCTTGAAATTATTTTTTGGCCAATCGTACAATGGTCATTTTCCGGGAAAAACTGGGGTAAAACTGGGAGGTGGAGGGGGAAAATGAAAATTATCTTGGGGAAGGGGGTGCAAATCCCATTTAAACCGATACTTTACACATTATTTCATTGTACTCATATGCTGATGAGTGTCCCTAAAATATAGATATCATATTCACACAATAATACGCTGTCAATGCCTATCAACAAAATTATTGTGTATTTTTCTCTAGGGAGAGGATTGCAGTGGACATGGCACCCACGTTGCCGGTACAGTTGCCGCAGCTACGTACGGGGTTGCCTCCGGTGTGAAAATAAACAGTGTACGTGTATTTGGGTGTGACTCTATTACTTCTAGTTCCGTCATCATAGCAGGTTAGTTTCTATTGTCACTGTCAGGAATTGACCTCATATTATTAATTTTTGGTGTATTCTGACAGGAGTAAGTAATGTAGAAAAAACATTACAAAATGATGAAATCAATAGTTGCAATAATTTACTTTTATTCAGAAAGACAAAATTTTAAATCAAGAGAAACATAATCTGATACGAGATACACTTTTTTGCATGTTGTTTATTTATATATTTATTTATTTATTTTATTTTTTAAAATTTTTATATATATATTACATTCTCTTTCGTTAAGGAATCATTCTGAGACAAGTTTTTAACTTCTAATCTGATTCCTAAATCGTAATTTGTAGCTATTAATTGTTTACTTTCACATGTTTCGATTTGAATAAATGTTACTGAATAACAATATCAAATATACAAAGTATGAAGTGAAAAAAACCATGAAAAAACAACTCGACGATACTGAGAATCAAGACTCAAAATAGGGCTGCAATGTCATGATGTACTGATGAGAGTGAAATGGAGAGTTCTAACCATTGCGCTAACACCTTGAATTTTCAGTCTACTGTATTCAAGTCTAATGTATACATTGTGTAAAATTTATACTGTAGATTAAGGGCGAAGTGAACCCAGCTGATCCGGGTTAGAAGAATGGTTTTCCGGTCTTGCTTAGACCATGGTTCGAACCCGACTAGCGTCGGATCCTCTATCGCTTGGCTTCTCGAATATCCCTCATATTGAAAGTTTGGCGCGTTAGTAACCATTTTTGGCTTAGGAGCATCCTATCGATGTAATCTATCATGGGAATTCATTATATACCCCCAAAAAGTTTTAGAAATATGAAATTAATATGAGAGTTACGCATTATATCCATCCACCAAAGAAAAAAAAAATTCGAAAGAGTGCATTACATCCGTTAAGCATTGAAAAGTAAGCAATCAACCAAGCACAGAAAACAATGGTGCATATAGTGGTCAATCAGGCGCGCTCAAAATATTTCGAAAGTGTTCCAGGGGGAGAAGCCCCGAAAAATATAACAATTTAGGGGTTTCAAACGCTTACCGGTATTTAATCGGTTTTAGTGTACTAATAATGTAAAAAATATATATACATTTCTGTTCTCCCCGACGAATTGTGGCCAGCTCTCCTCGACGGGCGCCTAGCCTAGCCATTTCCCTGCTGGCGCCACCCATTCCATAAAGCTCAAACAATTATGATTTTGAATTGCATTGATATGATCAATTTTAGGGTCACAAATTATTATTCACCACTTGCCTGTGTCGAACACCAAATGAATGTTAACACCTGCATTGTCACTAAAATATGATAACTTTAATTGATATACCGTAACAACCATGGAGTACATAAATATATTATCTTCATATTTAGTGTCCAGCGACCTTAATTGGGTCACAACCCATTCTTTGAAAACGTTTTTTTTTTTATATTGTTAAAGTCCTTGGCTTTAATACCAAGGCCAGTGTTTGATTCAACGATTGGGTAGTAATGGAAAGAGCACAAAGGACTTCTAGGCATAATGCGCTACAAATACTATCTATTATTATTATCTACTTGCCTGTGTCGAATACCGAGTAAAGTGTAATACTGTTATTGTCACTTAAATGCGACATCCCTCAAAATGAACTTGATTAACGTAGGCAAGCTTAAGCCTTGTCGAGACTATCAGATTTTGTTTGACAAACAACTGTATGCCCATATATAGTCATGATGTGCCTGTTATATGGTCGTGATGTGACGTCATCATGACAATATTTAGGCATGTCACAAGTTCTTGTCAAATGAAAGAAAGACAGGGCTTTATTATACTAAACCACAGATCCTATGACATCAAAAAGCTTAGAGTACTAAGCATTCATTTTGCATCAATGTCTGGCGACTCTACTCAATATATTGGCGATCCGCTTTTAGGTTGCGACCCCAGTGTGATTACCATGGGCTTAGGTCTAACACTAATTGTGTTAAATTGTTATTATTATAGTGATAAAATGAAATAAAATAAGTTTCATTGTAGTTATAGTATGTTATCCTACTATAAGATAGTGTTGCTTTGGAAAAAAAGTCTGCAAGTCCTTAATAGAATGTATAATTAAAGACAAACGGATTACAATGTTTTGCTGACGTCCAATACAATTTGTTTCTGCACTAGTATTTTATTTAAAATATATTTATTTAGGAAGAAGGTAGCTTAAACATATATATGCTTCAGATACTTTATTTTATTGGGCCTGTCATGTGAGCATAATAATCAAGTGTAAAGATAGGACATCCTACTATAATCCCCCTACCCCCTCACCCCACCCTTCTTTCCCCTCCAATCACGGTCTAATAAATTGATCGTGTGCACTGGAATCAATGTATACAAAATAAAATTTAAACCATTCATCTTAACAATTAATTTATTCTATTAAGGTATAAATCATATACTGGAAAATGGGGTCAGTGGTAGTATCGTATCCATGTCATTTGGAGGCCCCAAGTCTGTAGCGTTAGATGATGCTATAAAGAGCTTGATTGAAGCCGGCTTTGTTGTGGTGGTCGCCGCAGGAAACGGTAACATAAATGCATGTGAAGAATCACCGAACTGTCTCTTATACACATCTAGATGTGTATAAGAGACAGATATATATATATATATATATATATATAAGCATAAGTAAACAAATGAAGAATCGAGTTGACGTATAACGAAACATAGGCCTATAACATTTATTAATCACGAATATTTCGGTCGCACCTGCGGTAGACACTGTCATCATGATATATAAATAAAATAGAAACGGTAGAAAGCGGTGGCATGGTATAAAATCTGTGAGCCTATACAATAACATTGCATAAACAAATGAACAAAGGCAAGTGGCGATAATGAGATGAAACAATAAAATATACGAATGCCGCATCATACTGGGTGAGACCTATGCAAACTGTCAGCGACTCATCAATAATACTAAAAATTAAAGAGAGTTCATATATATATATATATATCATATATATATATATATATATATATATATATATAGGCCTACATATATATGAATTTTGTAGTTCTCTTAATAAATATTCTTTATCTACAGTACTTAATATAGGATTGATTTTGTAAATCCAGTTACCGTACTTCGGATAAAAACAAAATCAGCAAACCAAATCGACCAAAAATCAATTTTATATTTAATTCGTGAATTGTTGTTCAAAAAATCTACATTACACAAAAACATTGAATTATATTTCAGGCAGTTACTGTCGGGGCCACTGACAGATTCGACAACCGAGCCTCATTTTCTAATTACGGAATTGGTGTAGATATTTTCGCACCTGGTGTAGACATAGAATCTCTTAGTTATTCCGGTGATAGTGGTACAAATAGACAAAGTGGTACATCTATGTCCGCACCTCATGTTGCAGGTAAGTAATTCTTACAGGATAACATTTTAAGGGCTCTGAAGCCGTCTACAATACACTGATACTAATTTAGGCCTACTATTTACAAGTCCATTAACATTTGATATCGCATATCGTGTATTACATTCGAATAAAGTCTGAGGTATGCAGCTAAATATTTAAATAAAACTAAAATACAAAAGCGATAACCAGACACGGTAGTGAAACACTACCAATCTCCAAACTCATCTGATATAATTGAAAACTTATTTAATGATAAAGAAAATATCACATTTCTTCAGAAAACTAGCATATGCATGTATTATAAACAAATTTAATTTTAAATATAAAGTGCTAGAAACATATTTTAACAGAAGCGATTTAACTAGTACCACTTACGGTATTTAAAAATACACATAAATCTTCTAACATAACACAGCCCTAGCATTACAGTCCAGTAAAAGTCACCCAAAACTAGCAAATTAAAACAATGTTATTCCTCCTGTTTTTAATTCTCGAATAATTATGTCCTTCACGTGGATTCACATGGCAACACCTCTTTTCGGTCGGTCAATTCCCGACCTAAAAGTGTTCCTTTTAGGTCATAACATTAAACTCTAGGGAGGACTTGTAGGTCTAGAAAGTACCGCCTAAAAAATTGATAGTAACCAGCAACGCGCGAGCATAACAAAATAAATAAATAATCGGCACAGGCTAGTCTGACTTTATATTTAGGCCAGCATGTAAAATTGACAAATGTCACTATACGCTCAAGGTTACGATCGAAATTTTGGAGATATTGAATCATCTTTAGCATAGTCCCGATCTTGGCTTATGATCACTAAATACGATAATTATCACGCGCGGCAGGCTAAGTTGTTGGGTCAGTTCTCTCTACTAAAATGAAAACTATCATCGGATTTTGGTAAAAATATCATTTATGATTTAAGGACGAGGGAGTGAGAAAAGAAAGCGATATATTCCCACTGACTCGTTGCATTGGACATTGCTTCATTACCAGGGAACAGTGATCAACTGTTCCCTGGTCATTGTTCAGGATCCAGCGGTGGCGCCAGAAATTTGCCGACACGGGGGCCGACATGTCCAACTGAGGGGTCCCAGGTAAGTGGGGCGACGAAGCCCCGGTCGACGGTCCGGAATAAAATAAAATCCCTTATAGGGTTCACGGGGAGAGTTTTTATGGTTTAGTATGGTCCAAAATGTGCTTTTAGACCACAATATAGGGATTAACAGTAAAAAAAAACATTATTTGATAGATAAATTATTATTTTTTAAAATTTTTGATCTGACGATCTAGTTGTGCGTCGGACGACAGGGGGGTTCAGGCCTTTTTGACGGGAGAAAATGCCCCTGCCCGCGCTGGCGTAACCACTGAATGGATTATTTGGTCCTAATTTCTCTCCTAAAACATTAGAGAGTGATTTTTTAGGAGAGCCACAGTTCCTGGGAATTACCTTACATACGTGATGGACTGCAGTTGGAATACAACAGTATTTTGTTGGTTCCTATTACATATTTTATGAAATATTTTTACACACCTAATAATTACCACTTTAAATTATAATAATTATATTATTTAACACAACAGCAAACATGCACTCGAACATGATTACAAAATTATAACATCTAACTTTATAGCTCCTGACGAAACACACTCGACCTACTAGGAGATTGAACCAATATGGGAGACTTCGATTTCCGGGAAGGGGAGGGCCAGTGAAGGGTGTTCAAATCTTTATCCACATCAACACGTAGTTTACGCATATTTGTATATATAACAGACTCCATGTTGTAGGTAATAGTTTTTTAACGAATTGTTTCCGTTTCTTCATAATTGAAGTGTACATTGTTTGCATTAATAAATTAAATTAAATGTATCGATTACAGCGTTGTATCCGACACCATAATAGTACCAAAAATGTATCCACCCTTTAAAATTTTGTGCCCCACCAATTAAAGTATTTGGACAACATTTTCTGAAATTCACCACTTTTTAAACAATCTTGGCGAGAGGGCTAATTTTACTGTGAAGGGGCACACAGTTCCAATCTTGCTTGTTTTAACGTCTTTGCATCGACAATGCCATTGTGATTGTCAACGTTATTGTCATCGTCACTATCACTGGCCTATTATTATTATTTTTATCCAGTGTAAATAAATAACAAAGAATAGAAAATGTTGATATACTATATGAATTAACATTACTGTGTTGTATTACAGGAGTGGCTGCGATCTTACGATCTCGTGGAGTAGCTGCTAGCGAAGTCCGTCAGAAAATCATTGACCTATCAACTAAAGATGTTGTTAGATACCCTAATGGATCAAACAATCGTCTGCTCTTTATCGAATAATCACGTGATCTGATCGAGCCAATATGATACGAGAAATCACTGTTGGTCTATTAATAGGCATGCATTGCTCAAAAATATAAATTTCGACAATGAAAGTACAAATTAAACCTAGATAGTAAGATTTAAAAAAAAACAAACACCAATATCTTTTACATAAGATAGTTTTATTGTGAAATAGGAGAAAAGTGTGTTATTATATTAAGACTTAAAACCGTATGTTATTTATCGGATAATTATGTAATCATACCGAGTTTAGTAAATAACATATGAAAAATCTTCAGATAGACGTATTTCCATTTTACAAACCCAGCTTGTAGGCTATGTTTACAAGTTTCAAGTTCTTCATAATCATTATTGCACATTTGAAGCTAAGTTACACGTATTCAATACAAAGAAAATAACATGATGATTACAATAAATACGGTAACATAATATAACAATTTATAATAGTTGTTATAACATTAATAATATTTGTATTATACAACTAATACATAGTTGTTGTTTCAGCAAATGTGGGAATAAACACGAGCTTTTAATGAATACACATCATTGATGGGACTATTTGGTGTAGAGTGGAACCTTGGGATACTATCAAAATTAATAAAAAAAAATAGGCGTAAACATCGGTTGCCGATGCCAGCCGATCTTGATTTTTCACATAGGCCTACAACACCACCATCTGTCTATGGCAGAGATGGCTTCTGCAAAGTCTTGGCGTTTGATTTGTCAGCTGACGAATTGAGTGCCCGGAAACACCACGCAGGATACTAATGTGCCATGACCTCTATTGGAAGTTTCTAGTAATATTACATTCGTTACACACAACTCAGATGACACCTTGCTGGCAATTAAAAAAAACTACTGGAAAATCTCCACACCAACAGCGAAACCCATGGTAACAACCAACTGACTGCACACTATGTTTAGCCCTACACAACTACGACACTCCATAACGCGTGCAAGTGAACCTCCTAGTTTCGTTACCTCTGGAATATCAACTTAAAAAAGAAATAATTACGAAAAGTAGAGGACCCCTTAATCATTTTTTGCCTTCTCTTAATGTGTACAAATCTTTGCTATCATACATAATGGCCTTCCAAGTCAGATCTGACAACGTTTTCATTTCCCTCTCTATGCGTGTAGAGATATGTTTCTCTGTAGTGTAAATGTGACACTGACAACACGGTCTGCACGTAGTGCCAAATGACAAGACTTGCCACTCGTAGTTTTGTGGTTCGATATTTGTTTGGGCATCTCTCCACAGGAAACTTAATAAAGGTCTATTTTCATAGAGTAGTCGTATTTGGTTATTGAAATGGTGAAAGAATTATATCCTGAGATGCTATTTGGTGTTGTTTTCTAAAAATGGCTCCGATGAGCGTAACTCCAAGGGTTGTTTAAGTTTGTTGTTTAAGATTTTGTCTTGATATTCAAAGGAACAGTTGAAAACCAGTCTGTTTTTCTCATTATGAGACAAAACATGAATAAACCACGACTTGGTTAATTGGTTATTATTTCTTTTGTGTAGTTGTTGCACGCAGTTGCCGTCCACTAACTTATAGATAAAGCGGTTGTGAGTTTCTGTTGAGAAGTCTGGTTGTAAGTCGTCTTAACTTTCAGTTCGTTTTAGTAAGGAAAATATTACTTCGTGTCCAGTCTGGAAAGCGCTGTTATTATCTACACATAGTAGAAGAGAGGCATAACGACTGACTCTGTTGACATTAATTGTGACTGTCTTCTTCCCTAATAACTTAGTTGTCATGGCTTGGAGTACGGTATGGTATCTATCTCCCATAGACGCTTGACGTTTTTCATCAGGTCTTGAGTAGTTGCTATAAATAATGAAGTATTTGGCTGATTGGTTAGGAAGCCAGATCAGTCTGGAGAGGAGCTTAGCTCAGTCGGCTAATCTGGAGGTAGCCACTGTGTGTGCGCTGAACCGTGGAGATCTCTAGGTCCCTGGTTCAATTCCCATTATTGCCTCTCCTTGTGTTTCAGCTGGAGGGCTGAAATACAAGTTACAATAGCGCACCGTCTTTCGGATAAGACGTTTAAGCTGTTGGTCCCGTGTGCATTTATGGCCCATGTGCACGTTAAAGAACGCAGTACACTCTTCGGAAAGAAGTAGGGGATTGTCTCCAGGTGTACTGCCCAATCACCACCAGAAGGACCCTAGGCAATAAGTCTTCTTGTAGACTTTCGTGGGCTATCCTTGGTGTTTACACCGAATAAATCCGATCCAATCCAATCCAAAGTCCCGAGGGCGGTCGGAGTCTTACTGGCTCTTGTGGTATGATACAATTTGCGTTGTCTGATCTTATAAGAGGTATTGGTGTGGCATTGTCGAAACTTCGAAATAATTGTCTCCATATCTTCGCTAATTAAATTAATCACCGTAATTTAGCTTACACTTAAGAATTTAGCTAGCGCTTAAAATGTACAATAATCATTTCACTACCCGACAAACTCCGAACTTTATTCATTTGGCCTACATAATAGTTTCATCTTGCTGTACTTAAACTCCAACATCACTGGCGCATGGTAACAACCAACTGATGCAGTAAATTCCCGGTCACACATAACACAGCACCCCCTAGTTTCGTCACCTCTGGGTGATTGTTCCTAATAGATACAAGTCTAATGTTCAAACGTTTTACTCTGTCCTTCATTCACTCACTGTCGTCAGTAGAATACTGTCCTTAGGGCCAGAAAGTTATAACTTATCTTGGCTTAGGTAACAAGATGGTTCTCATTGAACAATCATCTAGATGGCATAGGTGTTTAGGTGACCATTGGGGCTGTGCAAGGTCACAGAAACTATTGTAAGAAAAACCGTTCTATGGCCTTTGGTATATACAGAACTAGGTGTCCTTCACCTATATTTCTGCTGCAAAGATTCGTGCAGGAATGTCAGATGGAGCTCGTTACATTCTGATCCTGGCCTCTTTAGTGAACACTTTTCTGTCATTATGTCTTTGACCACGTCACCAACTTCTTTATCCACAATATGATGTCTTTAAACTTAAGCTCTTTGAAGTCCTAACAGTTTAAAAAAGTGTTTGTTACTATTACAGTAAGGAAGAAATTGAAGGGTGTGGTTTGTGATTACTATTGGTGGTATGTGGTAGTGCGCTTCCGTGACGTTTAATTCTGACACTCGCTTTTAACCCATAATATTAATAATTGGCAATCAAAACAACGTTATCTGCAGTGTAAACAGAAAAATTATTTTTTCCCTAAATGTTTGATCCGACTTCCTCGTCGTGTTGTCGGACGGCAGGGGGTCGAAACATGTCCAACGTAGGAAATTCCCCATCCCTCTTGGCCCTTTAATTCTGACGTTTAATTCTGACACTCCCTTTTTTATGGTTTAGTATGGTCCAAACTGTGCTTTTAACCCATAATATTAGTAATTGACAATCAAAACAACGTTATCTAAACAGAAAAATTATTTTCTTCTAAATGTTTAATCCGACTTCCTCATCGTGTTGTCGGACGGCAGGGGTCAAAACCTGTCCAACGTAGGAAATTCCCCATCCCTCTTGACCCTTAATTTATGAAATCACATTGCGGTCGAAATGTGGGGGGACCAAAGCCCCCTACCACTTCCTGGTCCATGATATGCGCCCATGAACTTTAATATTGAGAGGCCAATTGCAATTTGAAGATATAAATACATTTTTAGAGGATTATCTTCGTAAGCAGACACGAAACTGTCTTGTGTTCAGTGGCGTCTCCAGAGGGGGAGCGAAGGGGAGCCACCCCCTCGATTCATTGACATTTCTACATGTCGATGATTGCTCGAATTCAGCTCAACCAGTTCGTAGTTTCGACTTCCATTCCACCGAGAATGTTCGCTTCGCTGTTGTTCTTTTAAAATCACTCAATGGATATTTAATTTATATTGTGTGGTTTTAGTTTACAGTACAGTAGGCCTATACATATTGGCAATCACAGGCATTTATACAAACTCCCCGTATTCTCTACACACTTTTCTTGTTGCAACACAACGGTTAATGCACAAATCCCGTTCCCGGTTACTATTTATGTTTCTGAATTTTAACTGTAATTCGTATTAAGATACAAAATACAATAGTTTCATTATGGTTTAAAATGTTTCGTATAATGAATAAACTGCTAAACAACAATGTGATGTTCATTTTGATTCTTTAATTCTATACAAATTTCACTTCATTTATACATTATTATTTGAGAGCAAACGGGATGAGGTCACATAATAATTTATATTGTAAAGTTATTAGCCCTTCGCGGCCCCCGGGCCACAGCATTTGATTTTTCGTTTCGATCAGAACACTTGTACCCCCACATAATATTACGGACCCACACTGCCCACCCCCACTACAGAAATATTCTAGCTACGCCACTGTTTGTTTTGTACAGAGTTGAATAAAATTAATATCCTGAACGTTATTGTACCTTGTATTTTTACTAGAAGAAATATATTTGTATCTGTATCTGCTATTGTAATAGGAATGCAATGCTACTGATTTCGGTCTTACCGCGGTTGTCTCACCAAGGCTGACAGTCAACTGAGTGTACTGTTAGTTAATATCCATGACATTTGGTGAGACGAACACTTCAATATGCTGTACGGTGTGATAATGTCGAAGAAGAGAAAAAAGCTTGATGTACATCCACAGAGCGCGAATTTGCGCGCGAATTTGCGTAACGTAGGATAGTTTGGTAAAATTATAGAGATATAATAAGAATACTAGAGCGCTACCTGCAATGTATTCGATGTTCGAAATACGCAAAGTTGTGTGTGTACCATCCAAGATGGCTGCCATAGATTCAGCCAATCAAATTTCGCCTAAGCACTATCATTTTCAATGACTCCCTCAATTTACACAGAAAGTTCAGTACAGCTAGTTATCCGTATGTTTGAAACTCGAGCGTTGCGGTGTATAGGTGTAATGTACACGATTTAAATTTTTTAATACGATGCTCTACTTTGCCTCTTTTTGGCTACGATAGTTTAATAATTTGTTATTATCAATACTAATTATCATTAATGAAATAATAGTCAATCAGAGGTCTTATTTATGGTAATAATTTTATGTATACTAAGCCTGAAGATGGCGCTTTCCTTTGGCGGCCATCTTGGATGGTACACATACACAACTCTGCATTTCTTCGCCATCTTGTCAGCACTCTAGTTGTTTAATAGCTCTATGGGTAAAATCCACTGATCTCTACTATCTGAATTGCTCATTGGCTGGTTTTCGTGAGGCCACCGACGACATGTTGGGAAGTGATGTATTAGTTTAGACAAGTTTCTTTTAGCATCTTTTTTAATTATTGTTTAAAATAACGATTTTGGCAAAACTTTTTAACGTTAAATTTGAATTTAACGTAATGATTATTTTTCAAATCATCTATCTACTTGATGTGACTTTTTATGCAGTTTAAGAAAGCTCAAGCAAAGAGTTATTTGCGTTGTTAGGGGTCGACGTCACTATAACAACACGACTTCGCTCGCGCTTTTAAAAACTGCATAAACAGTCGCGTCTAGTGGTTAAAGACTGTTTGAAAAAAATTCCTAAGTTAATTTAAATTTTTATTATTGAAAAGTATTGTAAGAATCGTTATTTTTAAGTATAATTTAAACAAATGCCAGAAGAAACTTTTTTTTAAAAAACTTTTACGTCACTTAGTCCCTCCAACATGGCGTCGGAGGCCTTACATTTTTCTGTACCAGGATTGGCCGATGAGCAATCCAGCTATTATAGTAGAGATCAGTGGTAAAATATCATGAATTATTCATGATCATCTTTATAGAACGTATTTTGCGCATGCTCTATTCACAGTGATCAGCGCTGTTCTGCGCATCGCCAATGGCCTAGAACGAAGGAGGTATACCTTCTTGGAACGACACACTTTTTTGTATGAGCCTTGTTGTATCAATGCAAAAATAAAACAAGTGATTCATAGTAGATTCTAAAGTTATGTACATTTACTTTCAATCTGAAAATACAAAATACTATTAAATAGTTGTTCAATTGACGTATGATAGGACTAGGAAACTCGATTCTGACGCGATTACCAATACGATTACATCTTGTATATATTATGCTAAGAAAACATTTGAGGTTATGGGACATGCCTTAACTAAGTAGGTTTTGCAATGCCAGTTAAATATTCTACAGATGTGTTCATTTTGGCAAATATTATAAATATTGTCAAGGAGTAAATGATAATAAAAATTTACCAAAAATATTTATCAATTCTACAAAAGTCAGTTTTAAGTAATTAAAACATAGTTTCTTATGGAAGAAAGCTTTTCAGAAAGGAAATGGATAATAGTTTAAATCTCATTGGTCTTGCAAATGGTACAGTGCCCTGTGTGTGTATGACCTATATTTAGTCATGACCGTTTCTTGCGCTCATAGATTGGTAGACACATGTTCACATCATTCCACAACGACAGGGGCTGAAATGAATAACATCGGCGTAACACCCTACTCTTCCGAAAGATGCAATGGATTCTTTAAAGTGTACACGAGCCATATGCTGGACCTCAATTTGAAGTCCTTATCCGAGAAGACTTGGTTCTACAAACCGGACCATAGGCGAGGAGAGGCTGGAACCAGCGCCGATGGTAAGGCTGTAGCGGTGCCTCTGCCTTACCGCTCGGCCACTCGACTCGCTATTAATTTTTTTTTTCTTCGCTTTACCTACGGTGAATAAGGTGAAAGAAAATTAATTTTTTGGCGAACTGAGCGGATACAATTGATTAAAGAGCGGCCATTTTATTGATTTTAGATATTATTGTAGTCAAGATTAGATGGGCAGGGACCTACAGTAATTCAACAAAGGATCCAGTAAGCACAATGGTCTTTTATATGACTAAGGCCTACGTATATCGTATATAGCGCCAGTGGACCACACTGTACGGGCATAATTTTCGAAGTCCTAGCTTCGCAGCATCGAGCGAAGTTTCTTTGCTTACAATAGTGGAATTTATATAAACTTTAATTGAACAACAAATTAGTATTGTATTTGCAGACGTGACAGTAAATGCATCACCCCAATGTATTAAATCCATCACCTGTTATATTGTTGCATTGATTAAAATACAAGCTCATACAACGATTGAATCGAGATAGGCTTACAAACCCACATAGCAGCAGATATTGAGATTAGCGCATTTCAATAGAACAACTATTAGATAGTACTTTGTATTTTCAGACTGAGAATAAATTTAAATGTATTAAACTTCAGAATCTACTGTCAATATCACTTGTTTTATTCTTGCATTAATTAAAATACAAAGCCCATACAAAGGCTGAATCTCGATGCCGTAAAAGTGAATGGGTACGTCGTGTGTCGTCCTATAAAAATCTAACACTGCGTTACTCGCTATGTTGCAGTAGTAGTTACATTACTCGGCGCTATTAACTCGCATTGCAGTTATTATACTCGCTGTGCTCGCGAACGATGCACAGAACAGCTGATCACTTAGGCTGTCACACTGCCCTCCCATGGCAAAAGGGCATAACTGACAATTTTCTGTTTTGCAGATATTAAGCAAAACGTGTAATTTATTTAGCCCTAAAAAGTATTTCAGTATTTGATTTCATGGTTAATGTATTCAAATAGATAAATAATGTCCCTTTCAGTGTAGCACACATTTTTTCTATATTGATTTTTGCGCTCAAAATGTCAGTTATGCTCTTTTGCAATGGTTTTCTCATTCAAGACATGTTGACAAACTTTGGCAAAAGGATATAAGTACACGGTTTAGTTCCTTTCAACGCAATTTTAAGTCAGATTATTCAAAAATAACATTCAATATATAATTGTTTATGTTAGTCATGTACAAACTATCAAATAAATGTTTATTTTCAAGCTGGCTGTGTGTACGGTCAAAATAGTTAATCTAGGGCCCCGGGCAGAAGACAAGCATACAGACAAGATAATCTCGCTATTGAGGTTTCGGCAGAGAGGTGTTTTTTTGGTTTTGGAAAAAAAAATCGGACGTAATATTGACAGAAAATAAAGCCGGGACGCATTATTATTATCCCATACAGTTTAAGGCAGAAATTATAGAGGGCGCTATATTAAGTCAGTTATGGGAACTGATACACATAAATATGTATGTCAGACCTCTCCCTCGTGCAACAGAGTTCAGTGGTGTATCGAGTAAGCTACACTACAGTGCTTATGGAGTAGGCCAAAATCTCTTGAATAGGACTTGGTAGTCAAGACAGTGTGAACAATAATGGCCTATAATTATAATAATAATAATTATCTCTATGACTAGACACAGTTTATGTACAGCATGGTCTTTGACAGTAGGCTTATAAATAGCTCTATTACACGTTTTTGTACAGGTCGGTTAGTATTATATTAATATGTATGCTAAAAAGCTAAAACAATGGAAAATAGCAGCCATTTTAAATTGTAATAGCTCAAAAATGTGTAAAATATTTAGTTAACTGTGTTTGTCATTGTTATGAGTGGATTTCCAATTGAATACTGCATTTTAATGACATAAATTTACAATATTAGTGACAATTTTAGGAAAAATTGCCGGCCATTTTGAAACTGCTGGCAACTCCCCTTACGTATGAAAAAAAAATGTTGCACATACTTTTTTGATTTATCTATGTCTACTCTACATCATATCCAATTTTTTAAAAATATAGCAAAAAAAATGCAACCAACCAAAGTTTGCTGGACTATTGGTGGGAATGCGAAAAGTAAAATTTTCCCAGCAAAACTCCGAATAAGAGGGAAGATAACAAGTGTTTTAAACGGCGATCGTTTTGTACGGAAGCCCGTTAGTGTCAATAGTGAATAAAAATTATCTGGCGGCCGCCACTTATTTATTGGTACCCAGGTTGCGGTACTACGGTAGTTTTGTATAAACCAAAATCTCCTCTTCCTAGGCTGATTAATGGGTTTAAAGCTTGTCTCTTTCATGAAGGAAAGTTTGATGGAGGAAAAAATGTAGAAACTGCCTAACGAGTGGTCATGTGACAAGGGAATGCAAAGAACAAGTTAAGTGTCATCAATGTGGTACATTTGGTCACAAAAAGATGGATTTTAGTGAATTGGAAATTTTAACACTACTTACCTGTAGCAAGTTAAATGCTAGTTCTGATTCTGAGAGCGAAGAAGAAACTGCAAAAGACACAGACAGTGATATTGAAAAGAAAACGAATCTGATAGAAAAGGAAACACAAATGAGGTAATATGCACAAATACATATACGGAAAAATCAGAAAGAAAAAAATTGATTTAAATAACAATGACAACAAAAAATCACAACTTTCTTGCCACAGGAAAAAAAAGAACTCATAATAATAAACAAAGCTATGAACATACAGGTAATGCCATGAAAGATCAGAAAAAAAATAAAAGCAATAGTAAAACTCCCTCGCCAAACTCTTACGAAAAAGAAGGAAAAAAAGCGCAAAGAGGTAGTGCACTTTTTGCATAGTTATTTGTATAATTAATTACACAATCATTTTGTATGTGATGTGATCTCTCCATTGCATCTGTCTAAACATTCGAGGTCTAAGAGATAGGCCTAAAAGTAAGCAGTAGAAAATTTAAAAGATACTGACTCGATCAAAAATCAGACATTATTTTTCTTCAAGAAACTCACCTTACAAGTGATAACAAAGGTAACCCCAATTTTTCTTTGAATGGTTCAGCATTTCACAGAATAGGAACTTCAAACAGCAAAGGCGTTTCAATACTCAGCAGAGAAGGAATATAGATATAATTGACAAATTTATTGATTCTGATGGTAGATATGTCATATTGAAAATTAAAATTTACTAAAAAGTTCTACTCTTGTTAACATTTATACACCTAATGATATGAAAAATTTTAGAAAGTTAAAAAAAGTATTAGAAAACATACATAATCCTTCAGATGATAGAATCCAAATTGGGGTAGACTAATTGCATTCTGGAAAGAGAATACGATCAAGTGGGAAGTGTCAATAGAAACGACAAATCTGTATATACTCTAAATAATTTCATGAAAAAGTTAAATCTGTTTGATTGTTAGAGACATTTTAATGCGAACAAAATACAGTTTACATGGAGAAGAACTTCAAGGCACCTATAGGCGTTTAGATTACTTTATGGCTACTAAAAATGCCGTAAAATCTGATTAAATACTCTATTGTGATATTAGACCTGCCATCGTAACTGACCATCAAGCTGTGTCAATAAAACTTACTACACATGAAAGTCGGAGAGGCCGAGGCCTCTGGAAAATTAATAATACTATTCTAATTGATCATTATTATCAAAAACACATTAAACAATTTGTTCAAAAAATATTATATGAAAATAAAAACATTAGTAAGAAATTAAAATGGGAAATCACTTAAGTTAAAATAATAGAATTCTCTATAACTTTTAGTAAAACCAAAAACAAATTACATAATAAAAACAAATTAAAATTACAATAAGAATTAAAAAGACTACATGAGATGATAACAATTTCCAGTATAAAAAAGATTGACGATATTATTGAACAACAAGAACTAATAAAGAGTAATTAAAGGGAATCCAAATAAAGTCACGAGCAAAATGGGTTGAGAAAGGAGAGCGTAATAATAAATATTTTCTAAATCTGAAAAAGCACAATGAAATTAAAAAACAAATACACTGTCTAAAAATCAATGAAGGGAAAATAGTGTCAGAGCCAACAGATATTTTAAATGAAGAAGTAAAAAATAATTTTATAGGTCAATGTACTCAAACACATCACCCCCTGTTGTTGATAATGATGCTTATCTCCAAAACACAAAGATGACTAAACTTACTGAAGAATAGAGCCTTATATGTGAAGGCAAAAATACCTTAGAAGAGTGCACACTGTTAAAAATATGAAAACGAATATCTCACCTGGGTGTGACGGACTAAGCACAGAATTTTACAAATGTTTCTAGAATGAAATTGGTACCATGGTCTGTGATGCTAATAACGAATCCTTTGAAGAAGGAATATTAAGTAATTCTCAAAGTAGAGGGGTAATTAATATATTGTATAAAAATGGAGATCACCAATTGTTGGATAGCTGGCGTCCAATTACCCTCCTTAACACAGATTATAAATTTTTAACACACACCCTTTGTGACCTTCTTCATAAAGTCATAAATAAGTTAGTCAATAGTAATCAAAAGGGATACATAAAAGGAAGATTCGAAGGAGAAAACATTCTTCTAATATATGACTTACTTTATTATACATGGAAAAAGACATTGAAGATGCGCTTCTGTCTCTTGACTTTAAAAAAGCGTTTGACACTGTCAGTAGAGACTTCTTATATAGAGCCATTAAATCATTGAATTTCGGTAAGTCTTTTTGCAATTGGATAAACAGTATTTACTTCAATACTGAGTGTATAATTAACAACAATGGTTGGCTATCTGAGAGTTTTAAAATGCAAAACGGTTTGCGTCAAGGTTATCCGTTGTCCGCACTGCTTTTTATTCCAGTAGTAGAAATGATGGCTATTAATATTAGAGCAGATATATTGTTAAAAAGAATACCTTTACAATGCAATACCACTACTTATCATGAGGCACGTATTGCTCAATTGGCCGATGATACGGTATTATTCATCGGAAATGAAACTAGCCTTAGTAGGTCCATTGTTTTGATTGATCAATTTTGTAAAATTCCAGGTTTAAGACTTAATATGAACAAAACAAAAGCAATGTGGATTGGCAGGTCGAAGGATCGTACTGATGAACCTTATAATTTATGTTGGGTCAAATGGGAAATGGGAAAAAATCAAAGAAAAAATTAATAGGACCAACTTAACTTGGATGTTTAGATGTAGAAGACTTTAGCTTGCATGTCAAAGCCGTCAGTATAAATTGGGCAAGAAAACTTCTTAACAATGACTTTGTCAAATGGAAATTAGTTCCGTTATATTATATAAATAAACTTGCTTCTGAAATTGTATTGTTCAATATGTCAAATATTCATTTGTTACAAAACACAATGATGAAAAAGGTACCACAGTTTTAAGTGAATGTAATTAAAGCATCAGTTCAATACAATAGTATAACAAATAAACAAAGTAAATAGCTATAGCGAGATTGCAGAGCAACCTCTATGGGGTAATAAACCCATCAATGTAAATGAAAATCTTTTCTATTTAACAACTGGTACAATTCGGGATTTAAAAAAAAAAGACATTGTTATTAAAAATAGACTGTTGAAGTCAAAAGAAATATTGGAAAAGTTGTTAAACAAAAGTAATTGGTTAAGTGAATATTTAACAGTGCTAAAAGCAATCCCCAGAAAGTGGATTAAAATTATTAATAACTACATACAACCCAATGCAAAGAGAGAAGCAGAGTCGACATTATACATTATAAAAAATTATTTGCTTGATGATCTTTTCTCATCAAATTCCGCTCTTTGCTTAATTTTTTAAATGATACATGTAATAAAGAATATCTAAAAGATGCATGAGAAAAAAGAACAAATGTTTTAAATGACCCTGCTAATAATGTTAATAGCTTATAAATGTTTTTGTTTTTGTTTTTGTTTTTTGTGGAAATTTTGAAGATGATAAACACATTTTCAATTTCAATTATGTCAGTAAATTATGGGGAAATGTACAGAATATGATTAACAACATATATTACATCAGGATAAAATATAAAGATATTATTCTTAGTACAGATAATAATGTAATTAATGAGATATCTACCATTGCAATGTTTACGACTTATAAACAAAAAACTTTATCAGAACTAAACAAGTACGTATGTAGAAACTTATGGAATTTATTTATCACTATGCTAAAAAGTAGTATCAACTGTGAATTTATTATCAACAGAGAAAAATCATTAAAGAAGTGGATTAAGGTAATTAACTATTTAAGACTTTAATCTTTGTATTATACAATTAACAAAACATATTTATAAGGATTTACCTGTAATAGCATCAAAATAATGGAAAGTGATGCAATTACCATTACATTATTGTTATTCTGATTACCTGTTGATAAATTCACTCTTAACATTTTTTTTTTCTTCTTTGTGGGTTTCCAGCGCAAAATGAAAGGGAAGAATAATAAGGGGAAAAAAGAAATGAATTTACAAAAGAGAAAAAACAAAAGAGAAAAAACAAAAAAGAAAACAAATATAAAAAGTTTATAAAATAAATTGTAAGGAAATAAAAGGAATGAAATTTTATTGTAAAAATTGTGCTGTTATGAAATGATAATCGTAAAGAAACTTAAGAGTTCTAAATAGGCCTATTGTTTTTTTTTTTATTTCGAATATGAATTTGATGATTTGATTTGTTATTTTGAAAATCATTGGTATTATGTATTATTGAATAAATGTGGCTTTGCCAGAAAAGAGAGAGAGAAAAAAAATATGTACTAGTGTTAATGGGTAAGCTGACACATATTATACCAGAATTAAGCCTATATGACTAATTATGCCTTAAAAGTAGGTTTTAAGTGAAATTTTCAAGCATAGTCTTTTTGTGACCCGTAGGTGGTAGAAAACATAAAACAATCGGAAAATGACATTGTAAAAAAATCCCCATTTGCGACTAAACCGTTAGCTTCTACGCATTTTTGCCGAAATTATTGCTATTTTCACCTTGAGGCTGATATGTACATTATGAAGGTTCATGAAAATACTGATTATGTTTAAATTAATCATTTTCACAGAATCAAAATGTTGTAAATTATGCCAGAATGAAGCCTGTCTAATGAATAAATTAAATATTATTTAAGTGGGTTTTAAGTGGCCATGATTTTTTTTCTAAATCCGGCACCTTGCCATTCCCTTTAACAAGACAAGCATACAGACAATATACTATACATAAACTTAATCTCGCTCTTGAGTCTTCGGTAGTGGAGGTGTTTTTGGTTTTGTAAAAACAAAATCGGACGTAATATTGACAGAAAATGAAGCGTCCATATGGAAGCGCCCATATTGTTATTTCTATTATTAGTTCCTTTCCATATGTATAATTAATTTTTTATACATTTAGTAAATATTAAAGTACTACTTTAGGACATTTTTCCAAACATGGTTGGGGCTGAGGTATGATATTTTTAATCTCTGGCATTTAGAGGTAGCCTGGTAGGACTGCCTTAAGTGTAATTTTCTCCAACCACCTGTTATTTCAAATATTTAAGGATCCACCCACCCCTCCCTTGAATCCACTTCTGTGTGTATACACCGGGATATACGTAAGCCACAATAATAGCACAGCTTACAGCATCCAATTCCTCTTCTTATTTCTGTGTAAATCTTGTATGATAATTACGTCTACTTATTTTAACCTTCACTATACATATTGCACTATTATTACATTAAAGAAATAATGTTTTATTTTACATACATACTCATTACCACAATGGATACACAGCTATTCTTTTTACACAACTTTGGGCGAGGGCGAAGGATATGCCAAAAAGCGACACAAAAATGCTGTCAACGTCTAAGTCTCATATGAATGAGGCTTGAGAGTGGAGTTGTTATTTGATTTGCAGAAAAATTCCTGTTACTGTAAATAAAAGTAATAAAATAAATAAATAAAAAATCGATGCTGCTTGTCATACACAAAAAGAAGAAGTCAACAATGTTAATATCAAGAACCACATTCTGTGTGTTTGAATCATGTAGCACTGGTATATCGTTTTACATGCAGTAATCTGCAGTGCTTTAAACGTAATCCATAGTTTAAACCAATATCAAAACAGCAAAACACAAATTAATAATGGTGAGCTACAGGGGCTATCCCCTTTATTAACAAAGTTCTAATAAATAAATAAATAAAATATAATGTTGCATACTGTATGTAAACTCAATAAATAAACATAAATAATAAATGCTCAGCAAGACCATAAGTACTGACAGCAATAAAAAGAATAACAGCACAGTGGCTGAATTACTTAGCACCACAGTAAAAGTTATTGTCTCAACTAATTTAACCTTAATCTTTATTCGATTTGTAAATCGCTTAGATTTATCTCTGGTGTTAAAACGACTTTTATATATAATGTAATTAATGCAAATAATGTAATTTTTAACCACATGAGCGTTTTTTTTTTTTTGCTTCACAAACTTGAATTTTTTTTGGGATTGGGGGGATTTTGATTACTACCCTCGTAAATACGCCAACACACGATGTACGTATATTGCATACAAACGAACAATAAGCAGGTAGTTTCAATAATTTAGCAAACACAAAATATCAACAGTTGCCCAAACAGCAGAAAAATACTGAAAAAAAAAACAACAACAACAACTTTATGTAACAATCAAAAATAGTTCACAACAGATGTGGTACCAGCGGGGGTAGGGTGCCGTAGAGCCAGGGCCTTTGTAGACTCTAAATTCGATTAAATAATCCTTTAAAACCCTTAAATTGTCAAAATTTTCCGGGGCCGAAGCCCCTAGACCACTTTCGAAAAATTTTAAGCGAGGCTCGATAGTTAACGAACCACTAATAAAGTAAGTTTTAACATATTTTGACAAACCTGAAATGATAGGAAGAGTTTAGGCTTGGCTACCCCACACCATGACACCGGCTCCTTCACCATTAACGTTTAACCCCCACACCGCAACTTCCTCATGTACACAATTAAATCCAGCAATTTATAATGTCAGCGTATAATACCTCCTAATTTTTGCACTCAATTTTTGGATTTTATACATATACTTTATATATTTTTAAATATTAATTTTCATTTTTGGGGCAATATTTTTATAAAATATCTATAGATTAAATATCATATACATACATTTCAATAAATAAACTATTTATGTATATGTATAAATAATTTTTGCAGGTAATGCCCGATTTTATTCACATTTAGTCATAAATACTCAAAAAAAGGCATTATCTCCATTTTGCCCCTTAATTAAAATAATAATAATGATAATAATGAAAAGCATGTGGTAAATATTTTATTGATATCTGTAAACAAACCATAGTTTAAAAAATTTGAAACAACTTGTACTTTTCTTGGGAAAAACCCAAACGTGTTTTGCTCATTTTCTCACAACTATATTTTGTTACAATGCTTTTTCTCAGAGGGGGGGGGGGGGCTGCACAGCCATCATGATTAGTTGAGTTGGACGACATGAGATGTCTGGACTTCAAGACAAGTAACTACTTTCGAGTACGCATGGGAGTAAGCCTAGAATATTTTCTGTATGTGGGGAATGCAATCAACAGAGTAAGTGTAGGCTAGTTAAATACTGTATTTTACAATTTAATAATTTATTTGATTATAGGCTTCTATTATTAATTTTATTAACTTACCTATTGATTCTAAATTTGTCTATGTATTAAAACAAAATACAAAGTTTTCTGTATTTATTTTAGATTGAGCTTTCTATCATATTTGTAATTCAGTCATTAACAATTTTATTAATTCAACTTCTTGATATTTTATATACTCTAAGCTTGTAGTGCAAAACAGTACCATATGAAAAACAGACTGTTACATCCTCCTGATATGTTAACCTGTATAAATATTTTCAATAATTACATAAATTAGGATTTGAAGTTGTCAACGTAATCAAAACACCATTCACTTCAAAGTTATGAAGATAATATGTGCATATAAAATCCAAATCTTGTAAAACTGAAGTTAAAAATTTAGGATTTTAGTACAAAGGGGATTTATCCCCTCCTCCCCATGTTCAGAGTTATTACAGAGTGCTTGTCTTTCCAATTAAAGTTAAGCAATTTTATTTATTTGCAAAATTTGAAATGGCAATGTGCCAGTCTGTAAATATCCCCCGCGAAAAACATTAGGCTTAAAAATCCATCACCACCATTTGGAAAATCATGAACCGATTTCCACATAAATTTTGCAAAAAAAAATGATGCCTTGATAACACAAGTACTTACGATTCTGCGCATCTATTTTTCTAGAGGTTTTACCGTTCAATTTAAATTAGTTTTTGTAACCTCTACAAATATATTTATTTGAAATTAGTATTAGAATTGATTAAGATCTGCAAACAGGTAAAAACGTACTATTATGGTCGCCTAACGTGGTAAAACACATTCATCCGTGGTACTGTTGATATATGATTATGCATAGGCGGTTGTCAACAAGAGTTAAGGCCGGTTCCCACTAAACTTGTCAAGCGAAAGCGTCGAGCGTCACGCGGCCAGCGAAACGAATCTCGCAAAGTCCACAAGAGTTAACTTTCAGTAAAGAATGTCTCGCTTCCAATGTTTGGCTTGCCTGTTCCCACTGCTGACCGCACGAAAACTGGAAATGCCGGGTGGCAATTCAGAGAAGTGATAATAAAACTGATTTTGTTATCGCATTGATAGTCGAAGGAAAAGGGCTGTGACATGAAATCGGATAAAATCCTCAGGACTAACATTCCCAGAACTCCATAATGAATCAAAAGAGTGAATATAAACATAGTTTTTTTAGTTCATATATATTCAAGGCCTAGGCCTAGAGCTAGGCCTCCAAGTGTAGATAGTAGGACTAGCCTAGCCTAGCTCAGCCTACCCTATTGTAGGTCTCAGGTAGTATCAGAGGCCTATGCTGGACAGACCTAATACTGGTAAAAAGAGGAGATAACTCAACTCTGCAAATCCTTTTCCACAATTATTGTCATATATTTTCTCTGCTCCCTTGTCACGACTTAGGCCTAAACAAGGGTAGCCTACTGTTCCACAACAGTAAGCTACTGTTCCCACTGAAGCTGGTTTTCCACTAGGCGAATTTATTCGCGCGAATTAAAGCGTCAGTTCGCTTCCAGAGCTCTGATTGCTTGCGCATTTTTTCCCCTTCGCAAAAACTCCGATGGGAATGTGAATGCGCATGTGCATGAACTGACGCTTTCGATTCGCGCGAATAAATTCGCTTAGTGGAAAACCGGTTTTACATCCTTGGTTACAGCATGATGTATGCAAAGGTAGTACGCGGCGAATACCCTACGCGGCGCTTTCTACACGATTATTTTATTTTACTCGCCAGTGACTAAACGGTAAATATGGTAAATAATTGTCTATAACTTCATAAAAATAGCCAAAAACGATTTTAAAGTTGAATTATTATTAATGTCATATCAAAAATCCACTCTAGACAATAAAATAAAAAATCAACCTTCTGGTTCCCTTTTAAGCTATTATCAAGTACGGTATGTTTAACAACAATGGACTGTATTCGCATGATTTAGCTTAACTTTGTAGGTATAACATATTTTGTTAGTACCACATGCTACTGTACATGATTAACTGGCGAACCTAGGGGGTGCTCACGTTTCGTTATTTTAGTACACATAAAATTCATGATTTATAGACGAATAATATACATATGATATATCGGCCTAAAGGGTAACAAGTCATGTTTATTTCAGTTCAGGGGTGGCGCCAGCGGGAGGAGGGGGTGGTGGGGAGAGCTTCTCCCCCCCCCCCAGTCGAGGAGAAAAAGCATAATTCGTCGGGGAGAAAAAAAAATTGTATTTTCTACATATTATTGGACTCTAAAATCGATTAAATAAGCCGTTGAAACCCCTAAATTGTCAAGTTTTTCGGGGGCATCGCCCCCAGCCCCCAGGACGCCGCTTTCGTAACCTTTTAATCGCTTAAGCGATTAAAGATATGAAGTAACCTGCTATTGTTTTATTTCTATTAAGCTCTATCTGAGATATCGAGTATTCTACGTCATAGATGATCTGGAACATCCCACGCAGGCGGACGGGAAGCGGTCCGGACGTCGAGCAAGCTTGATTGATGGACTTGCCACCCGAGGCCTGTGATGCTAGACCTTGTTGGTAGATGGAGTGGAGAAGTTAGATGTTTTTTTTTTTATGTTTCAAATATTTTCCCACCGCATATCTCACAATTTGCTGTCCCAATTTTATAAAAAAAAAAAAAAAAAAGGAATTGTGAATAATGATAAAATATGTAAAAAGTATTCTATAAATGCACAAAATAATAATAAGTTATTAATAATTATAATAATAATTAATAATTTACAAAAAAAACCTAACAGGGAGATTCGAACTTCATACGGTCGAATAACATTCCACATAATACGTGTACCTTTACCGCTCGGCTAAACTTTACCTCGTAAATATGAACAGAGTTTACACCCCTATAAATGCAACAACTAGTGGGTCAAGCGAATCGACTATATAGCATAACAGGGTTTAGTTTTGTATTTCAGATTATGTTGTTAAGATTTGTATAAAGTTTACGTTAGTATTTACTGTTAAATGTTTAGGTTAAAAGTTAGCTTATATTTAAATAGAAATCTTTCATGTAAACAATTAAGTTATACAAATGTAATGTGTAAGTATAAAATTAAGAAATAGAAAGTAAGAAGAAAAGGAAATACATTCGGAGAGGCTCAAAGTGGTACCGAACATTTTAAATACCGTTCGCTCATTATTATATTTTATGTGTTTGTAGTAAATCTTTTTGCACTAATCGTCAGAGAACAAGGTGCCGAGTCTATCACGTTTCATAATTTGGCAGAAAATATTTTTTAAAGAAATCATGTTACTCTATATGGTTTGAATCCAGAGTTCTTGGATTGCAAAGAATGCATCTTAACCACCAAACAGCCCCACTTTACTTAAAATATATTGCGAAGGAACGTCTGATAAATTAAACGCTGTGCTGTGTTTTTGGGTTTGAACCAATGCAACTCTATTCAGTTATTTTTTTTCTTGTGTATGTCAGCATTTGCCAAGTGCGATTTCGAAGATCCTAGTATTTGTAACTTCGTACAAGACACCACGGACGATTTTAATTGGAAAAGAAGATCTGCATCAACACCTTCAGCTAATACGGGTCCTTCATTTGACCACACATACGGAACTTGTAAAGGTAACAAAAGAGATACTACAGATATATATTTATTAATTAAAATTGTAAAATTGATAGTACAAATGAAGCAGAAAATACTGAGAACAACAATGTAAAGTAAATAAACTACAAAGCACAACTTAACGGAAAGACCACACGAATCAACTACTTGATGTTTTAGTCTCTTTTGCAGTCTGTTTGATATATGATTCTTTATGAAATGAAAACACTGGTGGCACTTTATGGACTAACTTCAATTATTTATTACACAAGCTTTCACAGGTGTAGTGAAGTGACACAGAGATGAGGTGAAATACAAAAAAGCTAGGCTATTGTATAAAAACAATATAGGGAGTACTGTATCTAGAATCTAGAATGCTCCTAAAACAATTATACACATCATTGGCAAGGAATAATAAATAAAGACAATATAATGAATGCACAGTATAGTATATAAAATCAAACCAGAGCAAACAGCATTAAAATACAAAAAAAAACAAAAAAAACAAACAAACAATAATGGATATAGTCAATAGTAGGCCTACTCATGAGAGAATGGATGTCAATAGAATATGATCGGGGAAAAAATATAGCTACTTAAATATAAATATAATTTTGTGACACTGTATAAAATAGAGAATGCAAACAAGGCCTAAACATATCAGGCAAGTGTGATCTATAAAATGAGACCATTAAATGTTAGAAATACAGATACATAAGTATGAAGCATATGAGATAAAAATTATGATCTATAGTGAGAAAAGAAACTAAGAGTCCTTAGTGAGTTCAAATTTCTCAATGAATCGTTGTTCCATAGCCAGTCGGTCGAAATTGTTCTTAAACTTCCGTTGAAAATTGCACATACCCCCAGGTTATTGACACTCTAATGAGGTAAATTTAAATGTTCACCAACCGGTTTTTCAGTCTTACCATGTCCGATGTCAAACTTATGTCCATTTAGGTTTACGAAGGGTCTGACAGGTTTCATCAATGTATAGAACATTGGGACAAATCGTGCAGGTTAAAGCACACATAACATCAGAAGAATCACAATTATAGGAGCTTTTGATATTGTAACTAACATTGTTAAGTCCAGATGTAGTCGTGATAAATAATGAAATGACAAAAGTTGACATGCTCCTTTACTGCACGGTCTTGTTCCAACTGGTTGATCCTCGCTGTTGTCAAGTTTGCTGGACTCTAGTAATCGTTCGATGTTACGAGGCTGGTGGTAGGCTATGAGCGGTTACTCGGGAAATATATTAGTGAGCTTATCATCGCTGTCAATATGAGTTGGAGTTCATTAATAAGTCCAACATTTGGGTTTATGTAACTACCAGTGGCATCCTGTTGAGGTTGGTTTGCTTTTTATTGCGTAGAAGAAGTGGATGTTATGGTTTCCGTCGTGCTTTATAGAATTGAGTGTCGATTGAAGTATGTTTGTATTTCAGTTTAATTTTGCATTTTGATGCTGTTTGCTGAAATTTGACCATATATACTTTTGTGTGCATTCATCCTATTGTCTTTATTTATCACTTCTTTTCAGTGATGTGTATCCTTGTAGGAGCATTCTAGATTCTAGATATTCCCTGCATTGTCTTTATGCAATAGCTGAGCTTTTTTATTCTGTATATATTTCACCTCAATTCTGTACCACTTCATTAGACCTGATGAAGCAAGCATAGACTGCTGTGTAATAAATAATTGAAGTTAGTCTATAAAGTGCCACCAGTTTTTTTTATATTTTTATATTTTATACGTCTACCAGACAGACACGGCTCCACCTACTATTATATGATTCTTTATAAAATATAATCTAAATAATTGAATCTCAAGAATTGTGCATTTTTACTTTCGCTTGTTTGCAGGAGGTTACTACTTGCACATCGAAGCTACAGGTCAGAATAGCAATGACATCGCTCGTCTTTGGACACCGTCATATCCTTCAACGAACGGCCTGTGCATCAAGTGGTTCTACCACATGTACGGGGACTCAGTGAATACTTTAAATGTGTACGTAGTCGATTCTTCAGGTAATGTTGGTTCACCAGTGTGGACTAGAACAAACAACCAAGGAAACTTTTGGATACTTGGACAAGTCACAGTTACAACATCCGGTATCTATAAGATGATGTTGAAGGAATTAGGAGAATTGATTTTACAGGGGACATTAGTTTAGATGATGTCACGATCACCAATGGAGCATGTGCCACATGGTCCTCTGAACCTGAAGAATAATTTAATGATAGATGGTTCGTAAGTATTCATGATAATGTCAATGAATGCTTTGATTGATTGTCGAGAATTATTTTATTTTGGTAAGATCATTTTAAACTATGCAAATAAGTAGAGAGATAACGTTAATTAGGTCAGGGATTACACATATTACAATAATGTAATATTCTGCTCCTTGGTCTTATTAGCGCTATATCCTCATTCAATATTGAGCACTGTATCTGTAGTCTGTAAAAAGAAGAAAAAAATGCACTAATATCATTGTATATTGTGTGAAGTGCAAATTATTAGTTTGCTTTGCTCTATGGTTTAATCTGGCAAAATCATGGTCTTTGGTGTCTAATAGAATCCTTATAATTAAAGACCGACATAATTGTGGTCTTTAGATTTCTGAGTTTAAATGGAAATTAGGAAATATTTTGTTTAATGTTTTAGAATGAATGTACAGTTACTGCATGCGTATTTACTCTTAATAAAAGATTCCTTGGTATTCAACATCCCGTACTTTTTCCATTAAAATGTAACTAAAGTTATTAACATCATCTTTTACAAGAAAACAATTTACCAAGAATAAGGATTTCCCTAATCTACTAAATAATACCAACAATATAAATAAATCAGTTACAGATTAAAATCTAAAACTGTATTAAAACTTTTACCATACCCACCTAAAGCGACTGAACTATCTGTACAACATGGTCTGTCAGTCTGGACTACTGTACCCATGGACAATTCTCAAATTTAGAGAGACATTAAAGCTTCACATGCTTCCGAGGTCTACAAATTAAAGAAGTTTACAAATTTTATATAATGATAACAATTATAGTATTAAAATCGTTTCAAATACCTTAGAAATAATTGCTTATAGCAGTGATATCACCCGATTTCGCCTTGGCAATAGGAACAAGTAATACAATGTCCTCTACTACAAATCCATGAGATATCATGGCATTAAAATAGAAGATAAGCAAGAAATTAACCTGATCACTTGCTAAACGCAAGTGTTCTGCTGTAAGATTATCTAAGCCAGCAGACTTACCAAGAGCAAGTTTCTTAATAGACTCATTAATCTTGTCGGCCGATATAAAAATAGCAGTGACATCAGAGATATTTGCATTAATATAACTATTAACATTTTGTTTATATTCATCATCCTTAACACAATTGAAACGATTGCTATAAGTTTACATTCATTTTTAAAAGGCATCAGTTTAACACATTTATATAAAGTTTTCCTATAAAATATACCGATTCCACCAAAAGGTCTACCGCATAACAGGTCTTTGGAACTATCCATTGCTGACACAGCAAAGTCCTCGTGAAGAGACGTAAGAGAAACAAGCTCTTCTTTAAAGAGCTAATGCTCCTGTATGTCATTACTTTGACATAATTCATAAATGTCCTTCATCCGCGCATAAGATTTACAGTTAAAGGAAACAACTGTGAGAGATGATAGTGATATCATTCACCATCTCCTTGAATTCATAAAAACGTCTGACTAAAGTATTCTCTCGCCATAAGCTCAAGTCGCAAATGATATTCTTCGAAGCTCTTTCACAGGATATAACAAAATGATGCAACATCATCTTTTTTAGCTTTAAGTTTTGTCTATAGCTTCAATGTTCAGTTTTGTTTTAACTTACCGTAAAAGCTCGAATAAGCGCCACGGCGCTTATAAAATCTTTAGCGGCTTCAGTGCAGCGCTTATTCAAGAGCGGCGCTTATATAAAAAGAAAATTATTGGCGTGGCGCTTTCCTTGCCCGTTTCCATGTTACCTATTTCACGTTTTCTCGTAGTTCAGTAGGCCTGTCATAGGTCCTATCACCGTAAACACAAGTTTATAAGAAATACTTGTGTCTTCTTTGGGTTATTTATTCATTTTTCCACTGTATATATTTAATTTAAAACCCTGTTTCATTACACACAGGGTAATATTATATACTCTCTATTAACCGCCGCGGCACTTATTCGAGAGCGGCGCGCGCTTAACAAAAAAAAAATCATGTTTGGTGCGGCGCTTATTCTAGAGCGGCGCTTATTTGAGCATTTACGGTAATTAAACACATTCGTTTCAGAGGTATCAGCGACAAGGTTTCCAACATACAACGCAGACGCGTCAAGACTAGATTTCTTTTCCCCAGAAAATGAAGATGCAAAGGATGCTACATAAGTTTTTGCGGGTGGGGAGATTTCATCCGGGAGTCAATTGATTTATCAGCGACTTTCCTTTATTATGTTGGTTAGAACTTGAAGCGATTAACCGAACTTACTCAGCAAGTCTGCCACAATGTGCAGCAGCAACAGCTATATCCGAAAAAGTGCGGATGTATCGATCTTTTGGTAAAATCGGTACCCGGGACAAATTTGCAGCAGCAAAAACAGGCAATTGTACTTGCTGAAAATTCACATTTATATAGGTATGTGTACGTAGTTGCAACATTACCAACTCCATTTACAAGAAACCCACTGACACACAGCAATGTATACATGTATCTAATTTTCATCCTCAACACACAACTCGACCAATCATCTACAGCCAGCGATCCACTTAATTACAAAAAGAAGCAACCATCTAGCCGCTAGTAGGCATATACAGCACTTAAACCATTTCAATGCATTATTGACAGTATCAATGAATGGTACATTTCCATGTCTAAGCATCAAATATGAGCTATGTCCTCATATTAAATCTGACAGCCACATACCAAGACTTAACGGTCACATCATCATCAACATCGCAGGACACTTCACTTTTGTGATTATTAATTGACCAGTAGAAGCAACTATTTCTAAACGTTTGTCCAGTCTGAACTATAAATATAGCTTTTATGGCCTATATTCAAGTAATGGCATAGGTACTGTTAGTGGTTGAGGTTGCTGTAGTTAAGAAGGGTAACTTTAGGAACATGATACGTAGGGAAATTTATAAACAGAAAAATTATCAAGCAATTAGATTATGCTAATTTAGGTTTAAACAGAGATTTTGGCATGCTCGACCATTACAGAGAATGGTTCATTTACTGTATTTTTTTTTTATTCCATCCGCATGCTTGTTTATTTGTTTTTGTGTATACCGCTTTTGGTTATTGCATGTTACTCTAAACTTATCGTTCACCTTAAGAATTATGCTGTGTATAAGAAAGCTTATATTAATATAAATATCAAAACTAATCTCAAAGTGAAACTTTTTGCATTCGTACTGTTACATTCTATTTGTATTAGACTAGAACGGCTCATCATACTATCTAACATTTTCGTTATTTAATTTACACAAAATATCATCTTACGATGTGCATTGGGTAATATTTTTTTGTTCAAGTGACATAAGAAAATTTATTTTAGACAAATCTGTATTAATATTACTATTTATTTATATTGGTCTTTAATTGGAGGGAAACTTTTCAGTTTGGTTCACCAAAACGATGGTTTTTGGTCTCTCTAAATAGAGGGAGTCTATAATTGGAGGGGAAACAGCTAATGATAAAAGAAAGGCATTTATTCAGGGCCGCAGAAAATTGTTCGTTGGAGGTGGTCTTTAATTGAAGGAAGATCAGACCTGTATTATTATGATTTGGAGTAGGCCTAACATTGTTTGGAGATACGGCTCCACTGGTGATAATTACATTAAAAGAGAACTAGCAAAATGATTTTTTGTTCTAGAGTGGATATTTGATATGTCATTAATAATAGAATCAACCTTAAAATCGTTCTTTGGCTATTTTTTATGAAGTTATAGACGATTATATAAGATTTTACCATGACGTCACTGGCGAAAAAGTAACAAAAGACCGTGTGTAAATAGTGCCGCGTAGGGTATCCATCGCGTAGG